TGAGTATGTGCTGACACAGGAAGTCAAATCAACTTGAAAATTAGGCCACTTATTTGGATAGTTAAAGATGAATGTAGGTGATTAACTTAAAGTTAGAACATCATGGAGAAGATTCTCAGCTGTCCCAAGAAGGGTATAAATGCCCAGGAGATGAGAAAAAAGTGTAGGAAAAAGGAAAAAATGAATATTACATGTGGTACTTAAAAGCGAAGAAGAGAGAAATGATGCAGAGAGAGGAGCTGACATCCATCTGGCACATTGGGTACCTGGGAGTAAAGAAATTGTACCATTCACTTTAAACAATACTGGAGATGATGGCAAACCATCAAGCATCTCCCCAGACAACAGATAAAGAAGAGGCAGAGTTTGCTGATGGGAGACATAGGTGTCTAGACTGACATTGTAGTGTGTGATAGTGGGCTCATATTCATCTGGATTTTACAATGTTTATCTAAGGAGATTCCCAAACTTTGGGTTCTGCACATCTCAGGTTTTTTTGTTTGGTTAGTTTTTCAGACTCTTGTTTGCTTTTGCATTGCTTCTAGGGCTATGTCTACACTGCCCCTCTCTTGCGGAAAAACATATGCAAATGAAGTTAAACATGGACTATCGCCACACCTCATTTGCATAATTAATGAAGCTCCATTTTTGCACAAAAGGCTTTTGCGCAAGAGCCGTTCTTCTGCATATTTTTCTGGAAGAACGGGTCTTGCGTCCATTTTTGCGCAAGAAGCTTTTGCACAAAAAGGAGCTGTCTAGACAGCTCCTTTTTGTGCAAAAGCTTCTTGCGCAAAAATGGAACCTCATTAATTATGCAAATGAGGCATGGCAATATTCCATGTTTAGCCTCATTTGCATATGATTTTCCTCAAGAGAGGCAGGGGAGACATAGCCTAAAAGTCAACTAGTATTAAGGCGCTAAAAGAGATTTAGGGTTAAGTAGATTTTCAGTCTTCTAAAATAGGTTAGAATCTGTATGCACTGTCTCTACATTATAATTAAAATAATTACATATAAATACACTATAATAAAATAAAGATCCTCTAGCAGCACAGACCATTTATTTGAAGAATTGTCTTTGGGAAATATTGTTACTAATACCTGATTTAAAACTTCATCTTTTCTCTCTCTTTTTCTGCTTCCCTGTACTCTCACCCTGAACAAAACTTCAGTAATACCCTATTTAAAATTCCCTGAGCAAGGGAATTTAGTTACCGGTTGCTTCCTATGTATTAGCTATAATAAGTTCAACAGTAAAATGACTGAATACAAAGCTGATTTTGTTACTTTAAACAGTAGCACTGAGAGTGCCAACATACTATAAAAAATGATTGCCTTTGTTTTAAAGGACAGGGTAGTTAATTCTCCTCTGAAAGGTGACTGTGAAAATGCCACCATGGAGGGCTGTTTTTATTGTTGCTCACTGACTCCCTATCACATTAACTTGGTTTGAAAGGGAAGATAAAACCTTTTATAGTGCAGGGGAATTTGTACTTTTGTCAGGAGACACTATTAAACCTCACCTGAACTAACCTTAAAGGGCAAGGTGATTATGCTTCAGCAGAGATATTTTTCATTGATCCTGTGAAAGTGTGACACATAGTCATACTGAAGTGTAATTACTATGCCCTTGAAGACTACTGCAAGAACTGAGTTCCTACTGCCAAAAAGTTCAAATTCTCCTGCACTATGCTAGAAACGGAATTGATCTGGAGTCATTGTGACACTGCAAGCAAGCAGCTTTCATAGAGTAATGTTTTGAAGCAGAAGCTCACTGATTTCTCTGTGTTGGATATCAGGCTTCAGAACTTCCTTTCGCCACACTCTTACACAACTGCCAATCCCGAACTTCCTCACAACCTTCCAGATTAAAAAATATCATCTCCTCTGCTGTCACATCTGTTTTCATGACATTGCTTCAAAACAGGATCTCACACATCATGCCAGGGCACCTTTGAAAGTGAGTTCATTGATGCCTCTCTTGCTCACTTATCCCACAAACATCTCAAATGTTCAGGCTACACCTACTCAGCCACTAGTTGCTACTCTTTCAAATCCCTCCTGGAGACTCACTTCTGATATGATCCCCCCCCCCCAATGCTAGTATTCATTCTCATGTCTTTCCTTATTTTATATATATACCAACTAGCAGACTTAACCGGCATTGCCCAGGTTCTTCAGAGCAGGGGCGCTGGTGGTGTGGGGGGTACAGGATTCAGGGCAGGGCTTTGAGAATGTGAGGGCGGGGGGAGTGCAGGAGGATGGGGGCAGGGCATATAGTGCTGTGACCAAAGGTTGGAAGGGAAGGAAAGGGTTTGGGGTGGGGGACTGTTTACTCAATGTGCTGGCAGACAAGATAGAAGAGTCATGCCCTTGGTGGTACCACCACCCCAGTGGACACTCTGCAGGATAGCTCTCCCCAGCAGGCTCATTGACCCCAGTGGCCACTTCCATATCATATCCCTCCAAACAGCAGCTCCTCCCTTTGCATGTTAGAGAAAACAGTCCTTTTTCCCAGGACTTCCAATTGTCCTGACAGAACCAAACCCTGACCCTGCTTTAAGTTAGGAGAAGAGGAAACTGCATACCAAATTTGCATGCATATATATATATATAAATAAAAATGGACTCCCCTCCCTCTGCTAGTGTCCTCTTATAAGCCTGTCTTATTGCGTTGTGCCTCTAAAATCCAGCACTCTCTGGTCTGGCAACATGATCATGGTTGCTCCTGGACCAGAGAACCTGAAAGCCTAATGGCAGGAGGGCCAGCAGCCCAGCCAGAACCCAGGATAACAAGGTTGAAGGAGCCCCACAGCAGTGCCAGGCCCAGGGACTGGAGAACCCTGGCAGCCCATAGCAGTGCAGAGACAGAGGCTAGGGAACCGCAGGCACCCATGGCGTCATGGGTCTGGCAGCTGTAGAAGCCCCAGTTCCCATGGCAGTGTGGGGTCCAAGGCTGGAGAAGCCCAGCCGCCTCTGGCAGCCCACAGTAGCATGGAGCCAGAGAACCCTGACAGCCAGCAGCAGTGCGGGTTCAGGGGCTGGAGAAGCCCAGATGCCCACAGCAGTGCAGGGCTGGGGAAATCTGACTGCATGTGGCAACACAGGCCAGGGCTGAAGAGCCCCAGCTGCCAAGGCAGCCAGGGGCCGGGACCAGTGGCAGCAGAGCAGGGGCTAGGGGGCCAGAGGCAAGGGGCTGGCTGGCTCAGGGCTTGCAGCCAGGGACACCACTAGGCTCTGTATTCAGTAAAATACAGCTCCTGCGCTGTGCTGTAAAGCCTACACTTTAAGTAGACCAGATAGACAAAGAAGGAATTATCATTCCAAATAGGAAAGAATTAAGGGGCCTAATCCCACAAGCATTGAATTCAATTGCAAAACTTCCATTGACATAAATGGCACAGGGCCCAGACCTCAATGAATTGTCCAAAAGTCACACAGGAAGCCTTGACAGAGCTGAGGATAGAACTGTGATGCTGACAGGCCAGGTGTCAGTTCGTGCCAAGATCTCCATGTCACCACGGGACACTGACAAATGCGTAGCTGGAATCTGTCTGGTTCACTTGTGGGTAAATATTGATAGAGTAAATCTTAGCATTATAAGAAAGTGTAAAGCATTTGGATGGTTGTAGGTTGCAGCATGCATTAAACTTACTTGTAATAGACGTGCTCCATGGTGTAATGTAATATCTGAGCAGTTGTATTATAGGCCTCTGTAGCTGTATATAATAAAAGGACTAAAGACTCTTATTGCTCTGCTCCTAAAGATGACTCATGCAAGTGGACTTCTCCCATATGCTGAGTTTGCAGATCAGAGCACATGGCAGGAGAGGGATTAAAACCCCCAAACAAAAGGAACTAAGCAGCCCTATGATGTTGGATTAATGTGGGGTTAGCCATATGGGAGTGTTTCTAGCCATAAGCAAAAAATCCCAAGCTGCTTAGCCTGGGTTAGCCCTAAAGGTCAGGTAGAGCTTGCTGATTCTATTACCTTTGGAAAATAGAGACTGTAAATCATTCATCTGTCTGTTTTCTTGTTTTAACCTTGCAAACTCTCTAATTTCCTTTTCCTAGTTCACTATGGGATTGGTTACAAGTGTCATTGGTGTAAAACATAAAGTACAATTGGCCTGGAGTAAGTGACTGATCTTTTGTGATCAGGCATAACATGAATAGTGTTGTGATTCTTGGTGTAAGGAGCCACCCAAGGCAGCATGCTGTAGTTGGTTGCACTGCACAGGTTTCCCAGCCAGGACAGCAAGTGAGCAGCCAGACAGGCACCAGACAGTGCGGGGCCCTGAAGATATGGGACCCAAGGCAACTGCATTGCTTGCCTTGCCCTAAGGCCAGGCCTGAGTGTGTGACGCATGTTAAAGCTGTTAAAGTGCCTGATAGGGTTGCCAGGTGTCCGGTTTTGATCCAGACAGTCCAGTATTTGAGCTTTCTGTTCAGGAAACAAATTGAGCAAATATAAATGTCTGGTATTTTCTAACTAAGATGTAATGTCGATTGTGATGTAATGTCAAGTGTGTCCAGTATTTTTGTTGAAACCATCTGGCAACCCTAGTGCCTGAGACGTTTGCTGTTGTGCATTTGATTAGTAAAATCTAAGTTTAGGACTCAAGACTAGAGTTCCCTGTAAGTTGTGTGCTTGTGCAACCACTCAAGAGAGATTCAGATGCCACCCAGCTGTTTAGCAGAGCACCCACAGCTAGAGGTTTTTTTCTTTCTACTGGTGGTGCATATTCACACATGCCTCAGTGAACATAACAAATTATTACATACATAGATTAAAAAAAAACCACACATGGATGGGAAAAGATTAGAGGGAACATTGCTCATGATTTGGGATTTGTGTTGTGGTTTTTAATAGTCTGCTCTGATGTTGTTAATGATGCACTGGAGCCACCATTGGGAGCTCGACAGGAACACATCTCTTTCTGAGTGCCTTAATCAAAAGACCGTTCTCCCTGAGCCAACCTGTGTCTTTCCCAGGTTATCAGCTACAGAGGGCCTGATTTTCCTCTCACTACTACCAGCATAAATTCACTATTACCATCAAGGTATATCCCACAGGCATGCAGGCTCCTTATAGACTTAGTACCTTCTGGATCGATCTCAATCTAAGGCCAGGTCTACACTGCAATGGTAAGTCGTGTCTTTTAAATTGGCAAATCAATAATATTATCCAGGTGTAATCTCAGTAATTCAAAGAGGAATTAATGAAGGGAAATCTTAGCGCTTATGTTATGCTGGAGGTCAAACAGATGATCACAGTGGTCCCTTTTGGCCTTACAATCTGAAGGTGTGTCTAGACTACATGGCTCTGTCGCCAGAGCCATGTAGATTAGTTTACTAGACATACCCAAATGAAGCCGCGATTTAAATAATCGCTGCTTCATTTAAATTAAAATGGCTGCCGCGCTGTGCCAATCAGCTGTTTGTTGGCTCAGCGCTGTAGTCTGGATGCTCTGCGGTCGACATCAAAGGCATTTGTCGACCTCCTCGGTATGCCTCCTGGGATGAGGTGTACTGGGGAGGTCGACAAATGCCTTTGATGTCGACCGCAGAGCATCCAGACTACAGCGCTGAGCCAACAAACAGCTGATTGGCACAGCGCGGCAGCCATTTTAATTTAAATGAAGCAGCGATTATTTAAATCGCGGCTTCATTTGGGTATGTCTAGTAAACTAATCTACATGGCTCTGGCGACAGAGCCATGTAGTCTAGACATACCCTGAGAGTTATTTACAGATTCTTTAACAAGTGCTAACTGCCAAATTATGATGTTCTTAAGGATAGAGAAAAAATCATTGTAACAGCAACAAGGCAGTTGCCTCCGTGCACTTTTCAAGTAACAAACAGGGGAGCTGTTCAATTTAAAGAATCCAGTCTTGCTGTCGTGATTCTGAGGATTGTGCATGTTTTTACAAGTTCAACAATAAATAGATTGATCCGTCATGTAACTCTACTTACATAATGTATTTATATAGCTACTGTATATGAATATATGTACACACCGACGCACACAGAGACTCATAAAACAGAGCTGGCTTCTGGTTACTCCATGCAGAGGCAGACGGGCAGAGACTCCACTCCTGCCACTCCCTTACCTGTTTGCATGTGGGATAGCCAGAATGCTGATGCTTGCATTCCCTGACTACACGAAGGAGAGGGGTGTGTATTAGCTTTGCCAGAGGCAAACCTTACCTCTCCTGCATACCAGCTGGCAGCTTCACACTGCCACCGGAGGGTACACCTGCAGCACCTCTGAAAAGAGCTAAAAGTTGCATCCAACCATTCTTCCCAGTATTCCCAAAGACATTCTACTTGCCTTAGCACTCCACAGGCAGAATGCTTCTGCCAGCTGATGCATGCCTGTCATAGTTCCACAAGCCCTGCATCCCTGACAGTCCCCTGAACCACTGTCACCCACGTACCATTACTGGTGTGTCACAAAGAAACCTGGAAGAGAAATTTATGTCAGATGACAAAGGATATGTGCATTTAGTCAACAGAGAAATAATTAAGGAACTAGAAATCACACTACTCCTGGTGGAGTTCTCAGAGCTGTATAAATTCCTAGAGATATCACAGCTGATGCCACAATAACTATGCAGAAAGGAAGAAGACTCAAAATACAATTTGGCATCCCCAGTGCAGTTACGAATTACAGGGCAATGATCAATGAGTCCAAGAGCTTAACATGCTTGGACATGGAGTGGCCATATATAAAATAATGAGAACATCCACTGTTCATTAGACAGAAGCTTTTTAAAAGTTTGGAAGGATATAAATTGCCATTTTCCTGGCATAAAGAAGCCTATGGAGATTAGGAAGAAAATTGCTTTATTGGCAGATTATCCTGGATATCACATGATCATCCATTATGAAGATCTTGCATCTTTCTTTGAGCCATTTGGAGCTGGCTAATGTTGGAGCAAGAAGGATGGTGAAGTAGATGAGCTCCTGCTTTGGTTCAGTGTGATCATTCCTGTTCCACATTTTTGGCCAAGGATGGAGACTTAGAAATTAGTTCCCTGATTCTGATTTCACGTACTAACATTTTGCAGACACAATTCTGCTGACTTTAATGGCAGTTATTACTGACTAACATGAGATCAGAATCAAGCCCAAGACGTGGTCCCCTGCATGAAATGAGTTTTATAATCTCAGGGCAGTTCCCAGTGAAAAAAGTCTTTATTTCACAAATACCACTTGGACACACTCATCATTCACTGGCAACTTTGAAGGCTGTGTCAACCAGGAGGCCAAGGGTTTAAATGATCATTTAATATCAGGCCCATACACAGGAATTTCTGTGGGGGGATGCTTTTTTTTGTAAATGTGGACCACACGGGTGCAAATGCACTCCTCCCTCCCCACTCCTCATCCCAATCTCCTAAGCCAAATACCACTTGGACACACTCATCATTCACTGGCAACTTTGAAGGCTGTGTCAACCAGGAGGCCAAGGGTTTAAATGATCATTTAATATCAGGCCCATACACAGGAATTTCTGTGGGGGGATGCTTTTTTTTGTAAATGTGGACCACACGGGTGCAAATGCACTCCTCCCTCCCCACTCCTCATCCCAATCTCCTAAGCCAGTGGGGGGTGGGCGGGGGGGATGGCCGGGCTCCCTGCCAGAGCCTCCCTCTCCCATGTTCCAGCCAGCCAGGGGAAAGCTGGGACTCATTTTCCCCCACCCGCCTCAGGAGCAAGGCCCAGCCCTGCCCCTGGTCTCACTCCTTGGGGCAGGAGGAGGGGAAATCAGTCCCAGCGTTCCTCCAGCTGGCTGGAGAATGAGGGAGGGAGGCTCGAGCAACACACCTCTCTTGTCTTCCCCCAGCCGGCTGGAGCCCACTTACATGTGGATTATGGGGAGGGGGGTCTTCACACACCCCTGCATATGGGCCTGAATATGAATTCCTCTCTCTCCCTGCAAGTGGTTAATCCAGGTCAGCGCTGAGGTACATTTGTTCAGAGTCAGGGGGAAATTATGTGTAATTCTGTGGATAAACAGAGGATTTCAGCCTCTTATCTGGCACCTGTCATTACCTTAAAGTCACATTTTTAGAGAACATGGCTGATGTAGGAAATCCAGCCAGGTCAGTATCAAATCCAAGTGTATTAATCTCTAAGCATTGTCTCTCGCAGTAGAAACAGTATACAAGACAACTATTTAATTGATTAAATGTATTTAAAGGTTCATTTATCTCTCATTGGTGTTAATGCAGGAGTGTCTCCGTATCTGTGAATACAGTACCAGGACCTATGTTAGCTCAAATTGTTGGCTATAGAACATGATTTACCAGAAGGTAAAGTATGCCCTGCCTTCTACTTTCCCTCCAGCAAGAAATCCAACCTGGGATTAAATCTTCCCTCTCTGTCAAACTCTGATTCTGGGCTGGAAGCCAATGTTGGGTGTGGTATTAGTCAGATTTATATTTCCAAAGTATCATTCATATAAAGACCCCAGGGCACAGTTATAGATTTATATGAAACACAAATATCAAGAAGATGCCTAATAAACAGAAATAGAACCTTTACGTTTAGATCCAAATAACAAAAGCTAGGAGCAGCTCAATCCCCCTGTAACAAAACATGTCACATTTTCACATCAGATTTACTTTGGCTCTTATTTTATTTACTGTTCCTTCTGAGTTTCTTGACACTGAAACTTTGGATTAAGTTACATTTTCCAAAAAAAGTTTCATTTAAAAAATATAACCTGGGTTGACTGTCACATTCCAACACACTGGATGGGTGTAAAGGCAGGCCACTTCTTGAGAAGTACTAAGCACTTGCGATGCTCATTACGATAAATGGGAGGTCATAAACCTCAATCAAGAAAAACAGGTAAGCACGTGCTAGACTTAACACATGTGAGCAGTGCTATTGCCTTAGTGATGAGCTCCTTTTAGGATTAATCCATAGGTGATTAGACACTGCTGTCAACAGAGAACATTTTATACACTCAAGACTCCATTGAGAGAGAGAGAGAGAGAGAGAGAGATTAATTTCACAAAAACATTTCAAGAAATTTCAGGGGGATACTACAGTGAATCTTGTTAGAGATCTGACTTGAACTAATTAATAGCAAGGAACCAACAGTACACTAGGACAAAAATCACAAAATAATCTGAGAAGCAACAGAGCCTTTCCATTATTTAGTCCTGATATACAAATTTAATTAATTAAGCCATGAACAGGCTATTGAGGCTGGTAGCATGTAGTCCTAAATTATCATGAGGTAATTGCATCAAAAGGGTGGAAAATTGAGGAAGTAAAATGACAAAAGGCAGCAGAGCTAAATTCAGAATTTTGTCGATTTTCAGAAGAGCCCTATTCCTGTTCAGTTAGCTCAGTATTAGTCAAATGTGTTAGAATAATTGGATTGGTTTGGCCAAACCATAGGCTATGTGCTGAAAAATTAAATACATGGGCTTTAAAATATCAGTATCAGAGGACCGAGACAGTAGAGTGCTAAGCCTAGTTAATCAGCAATCTGGCAACTTGATGATTGTGTTCTTCTATTTTACTTACAGAATTGCAAGCAATATGTGTGTTACTTCTTATGTTGGAATATGGAAGACAATTACACGGTATGTGTTATGGGTTTATTGGGTTGGGGGGACAGGTGCACATTTTAACAGTCATTTTTCTTTATGTGCATGATTTTTTTGTTGTTGGGTTGTTTTTTTTTGTTTTTGCAAGAATGGCAAAATGTTACAATGCTGTTGCTGGTTGTGTGTTTACACCATACCACTTTGTGGTGTGTTGCCCCAGGGACTGAGGAAATTCAGTATCTCACAGAATCAAGGCCTTAGTGGAGCATTGAGTATGTATACTTGGGCTTCCCTCAAATTTCTTTTGCAATTGGCATTTATTGTCTGTACTATCAATACCTGAGCACTAAGGGTGTGTCTACACAGCAACATTATTTCAAAATAACTAGCATTCAAAATAATGTTGAAATACTGCAAGCTGGAAGACTTCTTACTCTGACTCCTATAACCCTCATTGTACGAGGAGTAAGGGAAGTCAGAGGAAGAGTGCTCTATTTCTGAATAAGTGCTGTGTAGATGCTCCCAATTTCTAAATAAGCTATTTCAAAATAAACTACACAACTGATGTAGCTACCCTCAATTTGTGTAGCTTATTTCAAGTTAAGCCCTGCTGTGTAGATGCTCCCTAATGAGCTGAATCTGCATAGAAAATAAGGATGAAATCATGGCCCCAGTGAAACAATAGTTAAGCTCCAATTGACTTCAAGAGTTAGGATTTCACTTTAATACTTCAGTTGGGTGTAAGGGCCTGTCTTCCTAGAACAGTCTGCAGTGGCCAGACCTTAGTAAGGACATATGGCATACTACAGGTTGCACCTCCCAAAACCGGCAATCTCTGGTCTGGCAACATCCATGGTCTGGCATGACCATGGATGTTCCAGGATCATAGAGCAAGGTAGCCTAGTGGCAGGAGAGCTCCAAAAGCAGGATGAGATAGTGGTTGTGTCTGGTAGCAACCCTGCAGGCTGCTGCGGAGCCATATCCCGAGCACTCCACAGTCCCTGGGAGCCCATGGCAGCGAGACCAGGACCAGAGCAAGCCCACACCAGCCCATGGCAGCAGAACAGGCGCCAGAGCTGGCAGCAGTCCCTGGCAGCACGGTACTGGAGCTGGAACCCATTGCAGCCCACAACAGTAGCCTCCATCCAGGACAGCAGCAGCAGGGCAGCTGGGGCTAATAGTGAGGAGGCCCCCCGGAACTGGCAACACTGAGTCGAGGGCTGAGACACTATGGCAGGGAACCTTCCCTGGTCCATACTATGGAGGTCCCACCTGTATGACACTCCTCCTCACCTGCAATACCAACATAGCCACTCCTTTCCCACTCCCACTTCTGTGTGCACTTATCCCTGACATTCCTCCTTAACATTGTTTTCAAAGCCTCAAATCATTAGCAAAAAGACCAGTTGAACAATTCAGATGTTTACATACCTAAAGCACACAATCATATGATTATAACCCTTGTTCTATTTCACCACATTTATTTACAACCCTTATTTGTTTCCACGTCTAATATCCATCTGTATACTCCTGGGACAGGAAAGACATTTCTCTACATGTACCTGTGAAGCACCCAACAGGCACTCACTCAGACAATAATAAATAAAGGAGAAAATTCTACTGCTGAAGGAAACTACCACAAATGATAACTGGGACTTTTCAGTGATCTAGTTTTTGCATGTGTTCAATTTAAAAAAGAATCAAAACATTCTATCTACTTTTTCTTGAAATAGTCTAAGAAAACTATCATTTTGACCAACAAGGTCTATGGGTAACAGAAAGTTATTTTGGTTTAATTTATTTTTCATCTGTGGAAATCCATGTATAGAGATGGAAATGCATAACCGAATCCAAAGCAAGACGGGAAACTGAGCCTCTAGAAGACATCACAAATGAGAGGAGGAGCAGACTAGAATAATGATTCCCTTGGCAATAAATGGACTGCATTGTGATAAACCGGTTCTATAGCAATCCAGAAGAGGTTTAGGCAAACAAATACAGAATGTCAGATTGTCTGGATGAGGTCAAGTCAATAATCTCAAAAACAAATAACAGATACAATTTCAGGAGTATAATCTGCATATACATATATTCCTGGTCAACCAGTGTATCCCAGAAAGTATTAATACTTGTATAAATTCAAACATCTGAGAGACGAAGGGTTTTTCAATACTTATTTTATTTGTCACCAATAGGAATTTTCATGGAACATCTGAAGTGTGGATTGGCATACTCATTAAAGCTATATCATGGATTTAAAATGGCACCATGGAATAATTATTATTTGACTATACAGAACACAGTGCTCCACCCCAAAAGAGCAGATCAGAGTAACTGGGAGCAGAAAGTGGTACCATCTCCCTGTTTCTAGATGACTTAAAGATTTTTCACAACTTTTTATTGCAACTAGCATTATACTTTACAATAATAAAAAAATACCTACCATAGTTGCTATCTCATCCCATTTTATTTACTTTTTTTAAGATATACAACTTTGTGAGCCCTGTATAAGACCAACTCACATCCCTCTTCTGTTATTAACAAGCAAGTGAACCCTAAGACAAAGTAAAGTCCAGCCCACATCTTCTCCTTGTTCTTGGTTATTCCTAGTGTTCTTACATCTTAGTCCAGGCCTGCCCAGACCACCCCATATATATTCTCAACCTCAGATCTAATGTCCTTCCATCAGGCCAGCCCATCTTCAAAGCCCTTCATTTCTGTTTTCATAACCCTTCAACTAAAGATCCTTTCAAACTTGATTTTGCTGGTAGTTGTTATGGAATAAGGCCAGGTTTTTTTCCCCATCTGTAGGAGAAAGTATTAATCCCTTCCTGTTTCGTTCCAGTGAAAGATTTGTCCCATTTCTTGCTAGGTTTATTTTTAAATAATACTGTCTTGAGTTTTGGTGTGTCAAATTAGGCAAAACTTAAAATCCCCTCTTATCTCTCTGATTTGCTTTGAATGTGAGCGGAGTAGTAATTAAGCTGCAAATCACCTAGTAGAGGACTTATAAAAGCCAGATTCTCGCACCAGCTATTTTAGATGAAAGGGGGAAAAAGAGATGACACTTTATTCAACTTCATGTTCCAGAGAAGAAGCCATGGGTGGAGGAATTGGAAGGATCCTTGGTTTCCTTAATGGTTTCCTTAAAGGTGTCTTTCTTGATCCCAAAGAATGTTGAAGAGTGATTTGAAAATGTATATAAGTGTTTCTAGATCTGTATATTCGCTGTGCTAGCTAAAAAAAAGATTGATTTGCATTGACCCTTAAAAAGTCTGTGTGTCTGCTTTCACAGTTACATGACTGTGAAACAGTAACTGTAAACTTAGAGTATCCACAAGGTTAGTGATGATCTGTGGAAGAGTGTACTTACACTGCTAGCGAGTTGACACTGGTGCAGGGGCCTATGACAGTTGCCTTTCAACCACCATTTCTGTGGAGTAACTCAGCACTCGTGTCCAGGAAATGTAGCAGGGAAGCCAAGAGGAGACACGGTGCTGCTCTCTACTCAGAGTAAGGGAAGTTCAAGAGCACAATTGGTTTGGTGCTCAAGGCCCAAATACAAATATCCCAGTGAATTTTCAGGTAGGGGGAGCTCTACCAGGGTTTTGGGTAACTTCTTAGGCCAGATAAATGCCTTTCAACTGGCAGGTACAGCAGAGTGCATACTTTAAAACTCATCGCTCTAGTTAAAATGTCTCTCATGAATCACACACCCCAAAGCAAATCCCAAAACCCCAAATGTTTTACAGATCCTTCCCTTATGATCAGTCATAAAACAATAGGGAGGCATTTGGACAAAGTACTGGCAGCACTTTGCTTGAAATACAAAAGGGTTTAGGGTTTAGAGACTAGGGTTACCAGGTAGCTTCCGAAAAAATACCAGACACACTTGATGGGGGGAGGAAGGGACCAGCCAGGAGG